ATATTTTAGTAAATATCATACAATGCCCTGAACACTGTGGGAAACATTGTCCAAATAGAATTATCTGCAACAAGTTTGTATTATTTTCTGCTGTCATTTATTCCACAAGTTTTTTTGAGGTCCTTTTCTCTGTTTCTGGTGTTGTGTTCAAAGTATTGTGCTATGTGCATTAGATGTGTGAAAATGCTAGAGGATGTGGTACTTACTTATGAATAGCATATCACATATTTGATGAAGAAAATCAAACATCTACCAAATAATTAAAGGTAATGTTTAATTGAATAAGATTTTAGCACATAATATATGTGTATATGCAAAGGTATACTAGCAATGTCTTTGATAGGATAGGGGCCAGAGATTATGTTATAAGTGTTACCAGAAAGTAAAGAAGTAATGAGATGGGATTAGTTATGAAAGACTGCTTTACTGAGGGGGACTTGAGCTGGAATTTGACAGAATTAAAAGGTTTGAATGTTCAGATAATTATAATGGTTAATAATAAACTTAGATAACGTCTGTAAAAAGTAAAACCTCATATTCTTAGGTTAACTGTCATGCAAAGTTTTATCATGTTTCTCATCATTATCTTTTCACATTATAAACTTGCGGAGTAAGATCCAAGCTTGCTATGATGGTTTAAAAGTGCTTCTGTCATTAGGCTCCAGTTTTACCTCTTCAGCCTCAACTCCTACCCCTCCCTGCCTTGAGCTTACAGTCTTGTAGCTCGGTACTGCCTGTTAGTCCTCTATATCAAATGTTTTAATCTCATTACTACCTCTTATTTTTCTTGGTTTTAAATGGCAGGTTTTATAGTGCATGTTTCTATCAGTGCAGTAATGTGTATCTATAGTATGTATCTATAGTAAAAAATGACTGCTGTGTTGTTACTTTTTTCGCTCAGTTGAAAAAAGAATTTGTGGTTTGTCTACTAGCAGTTCTTTCTTGAGGTTTTCCAACTTTTTTTAGAAGTCAATTTGTTCTTTAAATACTTTCTTAAAGGAATTGGTATCTAGTTTAATTTTTAGCAACTTTAGCAACACATTTATGAGAAAAACCATCCCCTTTTCCTTTAAGTTTGTTTTCTGTTTGTTTCTATTTTGAACTGATTCTTGCTCTCCTTCCTCTGTTTAAAAATTTCTTGGCATCCTTGAAAAAGTGAGCATCATTTAAAAGCTAGAATTAAAAGGAAAAAATTAATGTAAGTTCTTTTTATATTTTAGTCTTGATCCAGAACAGAAGGAAATGTTAATAGAAGTAATTGAAAAACTTCTGAAAGATAAAAGCACAGTAAGTAATATCTTTTTATGTCATTAAAGTAAAATAGTGTTTTATTTACATAGTATCATTTACCATTGTATATTTGATATAATTATTTTTAGCATTTCAAAATTATATAAATATTAATGGAACCCATGCTTATTTTTAAAATCTTTAAGCAACAAAAATTTCCATATAATGAGAAAGATTACATTTGGAATTTTAATTCGTTACATGTTTCTTCATCAGTCTGAAGAGGACAAGGTGTAAAAAAGAAAATTCTTTAACCTATGACTAAATTGTTGACTGCTTTTAGAGTCAAAGTTTTTATTTCAAGCAATGATTTATTAGGATTTTAAAAAGCCCTATCACCTGGGAACACATGATTGTCTTAAAATGAAGTACTAAGAAGTGTTAAAGAGCTGTTGAAAAATTAGAGGTTTGTTTTAGTATTTTAAGTGTGCTTTTAAAAAATAATTAAGACATTTTCATACATACAAGGCTGTTTTATTGGCCGTTTAGAATTATTTTATTGGCTAAAATGAGTCATCTTTTGAGAATGTATATATCCCTTCCCCTTCACTACTCCCATTTTTTGTATATAGTGACATGATAACAAGATGTAGGAACAGGGGCGACTTGTGGGGTCTGTGAGTTACTGGTGTACTGGTATTTTAGATGGGCCTTTTGTACCCACTTTCTGTGGTTCAAAGCTACTGAGGAAAAGGATTCCAGCTTGTTTTAGGATGCTATCATTAGGGAGTGTATAATACATGTATAGCAGCTTTTTAATATAGTAGCCACTAGCCCCATGTTACTATTGTTTTCTGACTTAGCATATGGTCTGTCCTAGAGAATGTTCAATGTACAACTGAGAATGTGTATTCTGCTGTTGTTGAGTGAAGTATTCTGTAGATGTCTGTTAAGTCTAATTGTTTTATAGTGTTGTTCAAATCTTCTATTTCTCTGTTGATCTTATGCCTACTCTTTCTATCCATTATTGAAAGTAATATATCGAAGTCACTTCAATCCTGTCAGAGTTTGCGTTGTATATTTAGGAGCTCAGATGTTTGGTGTGTATTATGTTTATAATTGTTTTATCTTCCTTTTGTCATTATGAGATGTTCCTCTTTATCTCTAGTAACATTTTTTTTGTTTTAAAGTCTACTCTGCCTGATATAAGTACAACTATTCCATCTTTCTTATGGTTGCTGTTTGCATTATGTATCTTTTTCCATCCTTGTACTTTCAACCTGTTTGTATTTTTGAATCTAATGTATGTCTCCCGTAGACAGCTTATATAGTTGGCTCTTCTCTTTTTATCCAGTCTAGCAATATGTGCCTTTTGATTGAATTGTTTAATCTGTTCACACTTAATGCTACTATTAATATTAATATAGTTGGATTTTAAGCTGCCATTTTACTTGTTTTTATATGTCTTGCTTTTTTTTGTTCCTC